TAATTCATAAGAGTTTCTTCTGATTAGCTTAGGTATCACTCTTGCATATTGTGTGATTAAGATGTGCAATTGAAATGTCTAACTTTGCGGCAGATGCTGGTCTATGTGACCTTTTGCAACAGAAGGGTTCTTTTATCACTTGAGCTTTTGGTTTCGTATTTCTCATCTGCTCTCTTCTGCCAGCTTAACTGAGAGTTTAAATCAAAACCTAATTAGACTACATATGCTGTTTAGGAAAAAGTTATTGGAAAAGTCATGATTCATATAAGCTTTGATATTTCCAGATAAATGAGAACAAATGTGATTTTAATTGTTTTAAATAACTTTCAGTCATCCTCTTAGTCAAATAAAAGTAGTTGAACACAGCTCTTTGATCCAAAAAAAAAAAAATTATCTAGTAACAGAAGCACCAGCTCTATATTCCTAGCAACTATACCATCTATGTTTAATGATGAACCCCCTTATTTGGGTTTATATATTTATGCATGTTTTTCAACTAAGTAGTATTATAACTCAGCTATTTTCTTACCTATTTCTGATACCAATATCATAAACATCAAATCAGAATTATTAAATGAAATGTAATTCCTGAAAAAAAAAGAAAAAAAAAATCTGTGTGTACATGTTGAGTACCTAAGATGTCAGCAAAAATTTGCTTTTTAGCAATGTTGATATAAAAAAAAAGTGGTGCATTTTTATTTTTCTCTTTTGATATTTTAGGAGGAAAAACTGAATTATTTTGTTATTTTAATTATAATGCACTTACCTGAATTGCACATTTCAATATTTTAACTAGCACTAAGGAAAGCCACATTTTAAACACTCTCAACTTTCACTGGGTTAAAGAAACCGTGCCAAAAAAATATAGCTGCTGTTTTGTTCAAACGTTAATAAATACTTCTGCCAAGACTGCCTTGGCCTCTGATACTTGTCACAAAGACATAAATTCTATCTCAAAAAAAAAAAAAATTAAAAACCTTTACATTTATATGTCCTACTTAGTTATTTGACCCAGTTCCTAATCAGAAGTAGCCAGAATTTTCTTTTATTCCACAGAGCAATTGCCTGCTGTCTTAAGAATAAGAACTTGAGTATTTCCCTTGATAGAAAGCTGACAAGTCCTTATGAGGAACTATGATTTCCAACATCAAGCCAATACAGTTCTCTGTTAATTGTTTGAATACAGTCCTGTGTCACACTGCATATAAAAATGATATTCTGGAAACAAAGAAACTTTAGATATTGCCAAGAACAATCTCTGTAAATATAACCACTACTTTATAATGTGCAAAAGCAGAATTTCATAAATATTTTTTAAAAATCTAAATTAAATTTAAAACAGAAATGTAGATCCAGATTCTCAGTTACTTGATTACTTTAGTGATTACTTGATTACTTTAGTGATTACTTGATTACTTATATTTATCATTTAGCCATTACTGATATGTGACTACCAAGACAAAAAAAACCAACATACAAAGACACCAGACTTCAGGATTTTTTTAAGAAATAAGTTGAAGATGGATTTATAGTGCGACAACACTGATATCCAGAACTTCTAAACAACATACAAAGTCTACTGACATCCTAACAATACAAAATGTATATGCATGTTCCTGATACTATAAAAAAAAATACTGATTTTCCAAATGTTCTAAAATTCAAAGTTCTCAGCATTTTCTACAAAACTTTCAAAAATCCCAATACAACTCAATAAGAAGTTTAAAAGTAAGACCTTAATTACAGGACGGCATTCTTTTCAAAAAAGTGAGTGAGCATACTTAGATATTAAAACTGAAATCAAAACCCACTATGTAGAATAGCTAAATGGGAACTGATAACCCAAACAACTCCTGACTGCAAATGTCTACAATACAAAGAAACTTATTTAAAATATTCTTCAGACACCAGGAGACATGTAGTGAAACACAGAATATTTTGAAAGTAAAGTTCATTCTCTTCTGGTTTCAGATAAAGGAATGAAAATACAAAATCTGAGGTTTAGACTCATACATCAGAAGTATTTTGATATGTACTATTTGTTATAACCAATAGTACTTTCTTGAAAGGTGTAACCTGCTGGACTGAGAAGCCCCCAAGATTTTCACTTTTTACTGTGAGAACTGACTGTATCAAGGGTGGGGGATAGTGGTGGGGGGAGCTGAGGAAGGGGGAAGTAATACCCAATTACAAGGTTTAGGTTGACTGTAATTCAGTGTAAATTTTATTGATTTTGTCATCAGCTATAATTGGTCAACTGGATGAAAAGCTCTCCTTTTCTGTGAATGAAGCAGCCCTCCCAGAATACTAAAGGTGTCTTAAATAGAAATAGATTATTTAGCAAGCCTTTCATTGTATTAAGCCAGTGCTTACGTACATGATTATTGAGTAAAGTCAGTATTTTTAGCATTTTGTTTAAAAGAAAAAGCAGCTCACCACAGAAACCAATCAAATGGTGTGTACCTAAAATGCATCAGTAGATGTCAAGTTATTTTCTGTTCTGATTCTCAAGCTAAGAATTATCTAGATGTCCAACGCTCAAAAAATTAATATTTACTTATACAAAAAAAAACAAGTTCCTGACTGAGTTTTGTAACTGAAATGTGAATAAACCACCAGAAAGTCCAGCAAAATATTGCAATTGTCACAAAGTATTCACCACGAGTTTCTAGTTTCACCCGTGCACACTTCAGGGTAGACTCCGTAGAGGCACATCGGTACGCACGGCTATCAGACCGCTCGACCTGCTAAACCCTTGGCTCTCTCAGCCACCAGAATGAATCAAAAGGCTCCAGAGGGACCCAGAAGCACCAAGCCAGGGCGCAGCTGGAGCGGAGCGGCTGCCCCCCAGCGCGGCCGCGGGCTGCGTGCGCGGCCTCTGCAGCACCACCCCGGGAAGAGAAAGAAAACGCTAAGTTGCACCCTTGGGTTGGTTTGTTGCTTGATTTTGTTTTGTGGTGTTTTTTTTTCCTTTTCCCTGCTGGAATATCCTTCGTTTTTTAACAGAGACTGGTTGGCTACATGTTCAAAACATAGAGCAATACCGTCTGGCATTTAGAACCAGAGAACTGCAGGTCATTGTCACTGCATTTATCTAGTTCATTTATATGTTTCACGCAATCATTTGAATGTCAACAACTTTTTCCCCATCATTAGACAAGTATTTCTCCTTATTCAGTCTCCTAAGGGGAAATCAGTGTACATTTGCTATTCTGTTCATTTTCAACACCTTTTACACCACGATATACTGTAGAGCAAATGCACACTTTGTGGTAAAGTTCAGTCAAACTAAACTGTGATACAAAAAAATCACTCTAAGCAAGTAGATGTTGATTGTTTGGCAGCACAGAGCAGTACGTCAACTTCCAGTTAAAGAGTTACTGAAATGGCCAAGATGTCCTTACAGCGGTAGACACCTATTTACATTTGATACGCTTTTTACTTAACCAATCTATGCTTTTTACTTAGCCAATTCACTCGGGAAATAAAATACATTTACATTCTCAGTAACTGAGTACATAACATGTATACAATGAGTGTGTACACACACAGTTTATAACCTAGAAACAGTGGAGTCAAAATTACTGAAGAGACTGCTTTACTTTTGTCAAGTTTAACCAGAAAAAATAAACACGGCAACTTTCCTACTTTATCCAATTAGATAAGAGAATATTTCAGCTTCCGGAAGGACCGTGGATTGATTTTTGTGGCAAAGATATGTGCAAATTACACTAACTTATTGGTAAATAGGATTCTTTAGGCAGGGACTGTTACCATGAAATGATTTCAGAAGGCCTCGCTGAAGTTACAAAGCACGGAGGTACAACTAGGCCTTCTGTTCAGAGCAGTGATTTGTATGCCCTGTTGTGTCGCACTGCTAGAGCAGGATTTGGTTCAGACTGGTTAATGTAGTGCTACAGTAGTTGAGATAATCCAGTTCAGGGCAGAAACCATTCACCTGGCCCGGCTCTCAACAAATACTCAAACGAACAGGGAAAAAAGCATGCAGTTAGTTATTTTAGGCGCCAAGGATAACACTTCTTTCCCGCCCTTTCCTGTCTTGAGAGCTACGCCAACTAATCTTGTGCAAAAGTAGAGAGAAGACAGCAACTGCCCAGAGCCGAAGTGGGACCCTGCCTCCTACCAAAGAAACGAAACCCCTCTGGATAACTGTGAGCACCAAAGAAAACGGCCGCGGCTTATAGAAATGCTGTCACCATCGCTTCCCAAACAAGGGCCACCGCGGTGCCCATTGACATCCACCCTCGTCCTCGAGCTTTTCCCAGCTCCACGGATTTTGGCAGAGCGCCTGGAGACGGGGTCCCGCTCCCCGCTCCCCAGGCGGCCGGCAGCCTCCCCGCTCCG